ACGTCTGTAATTGCGTGTAGTAATACATCTGTGTTTGCACATAGTAATACGTCTTTATTTGCGTGTAGTAATACGTCTGTAATTGCGTGTAGTAATACATCTGTGTTTGCACATAGTAATACGTCTGTATTTGCGTGTAGTAATACGTCTGTAATTGCGTGTAGTGATACATCTGTGTTTGCACGTAGTATTACGTTTGTGTTTGCGTGTAGTAATACGTCTGTAATTGCGTGTAGTAATACATCTGTGTTTGCACATAGTAATACGTCTGTATTTGCGTAAAGTGATACGTCTGTATTTGCATATAGTAATACGTCTGTGTTTGCACATAGTAATACGTCTTTAATTGCGAATAGTACTACGCCTGTATTTTCATATAGTAATACGTCTGTATTTGCGTATAGTAATACGCCTGTATTTGCATATAGTAACATGTCTGTATTTGCATATAGTAATATGTCTGTATTTTCATATAGTAATACGTCTGTATTTGCATATACTAATACGTCTGTATTTGTATATATAGTAATACGTCTGCTTCTGCATACAGTAATACATCCGTATTTGAGTATAGTAATATATCTGTGTTTGCATATAATAATATGTCTGTATTTGCATATAGTAATACACCTGTATTTACATATAGTAATATGTCTGTATTTGCGTATAGTAATATGTCTGTATTTGCATATAGTAATATGTCTGTATTTGCGTATAGTAATATGTCTGTATTTTCATATAGTAATATGTCTGTATTTGCGTATAGTAATACGCCTGTATTCACACATAGTAATATGTCTGTAGTTGCATATAGTAATATGTCTGTATTTGTATATATAGTAATACGTCTGTATCTGCATACAGTAATATATCCGTATTTGAGTATAGTAATATATCTGTATTTGCATATAATAATATATCTGTATTTGCATATAGTAATACACCTGTATTTACATATAGTAATATGTCTGTATTTGCGTATAGTAATATGTCTGTATTTGCATATAGTAATATGTCTGTGTTTCCGTATAGTAATACGCCTGTATTTACATATAGTAATATGTTTGTATTTGCATATAGTAATATGTCTGTATTTGCGTATAGTAATATGTCTGTATTTGCGTATAGTAATATGTCTGTATTTGCGAATAGTACTACGCCTGTATTTTCATATAGTAATACGTCTGTATTTGCGTATAGTAATACGCCTGTATTTGCATATAATAATATATCTGTATTTGCATATAGTAATACACCTGTATTTACATATAGTAATACGTCTGTATTTGCGTATAGTAAAATATCTATATTTGCATATAATAATTATCTGTATTTGCATATAGTAATACACCTGTATTTACATATAGTAATACGGCTGTATTTGCGAATAGTACTACGCCTGTATTTTCATATAGTAATACGTCTGTGTTTGCGTATAGTAATACGTCTGTATTTGCGTATAGTAATATGTCTGTATTTGCATATAGTAATACGCCTGTTTTTGTGTATAGTAATATGCCTGTATTTACATTTAGTAATATGCCTGTATTTTCGTATAGTAATATGCCTGTATTTGCATATAGTAATATGCCTGTATTTACATACAGTAATATGCCTGTATTTGCGTATAGTAATACGTCTGTATTTGCATATAGTAATACGTCTGTATTTGTATATAGTAATACGTCTGTATCTGCATACAGTAATACATCCGTATTTGAGTATAGTAATGCATCTGTATTTGCGTATAGTAGTACGCTTGTATTTGCGTATAGTAATACGTCTGTATTTGCATATAATACGTCTGTATTTGCGTATAGTAATACATCCGCATT